GAGGATCTTGAAGAGATAAAGAACACTTGAAGATCTAAGCTGGTTCTAAGGAGATTCAAAATAAATAAGATGATATTTGAGAGAGAAAAGGTGTTCACGGTTGAAGATCTTGAGAGCAAAAGTCTTGAGTTCACGGTCAGAAGTGAAGAAGTGAGAAAAAATCAGTCAACACTAATATATATATATATATATATATATATATATATATATATATATATATATATATATATATATATATGTTAGAGATCACAGCCGAAGGGTTCACGACTTCGGTTCACGACCGCAAAGGGTTTGCGGTCTGAGGGATATACAAGGCCGTGAAGGCTCGTTTGCGACTGCGAGGGTTTGCGGTCTGAAATGCTTTCCCTCCAAAACACACAACACTTCATGATACTAGGTTTTTATACCTAGAAAATCATTACCCTAACTATATTAATATAATAATGGAAATATGTTTGACCTTTGATTGATATTTTTTAATTTAGTTGACCAAGTTGACTTTTACAAGAAGGAAACTACGGGTTGTCACAACAACCAACCAGATAGTCCATTAGGGTCCAAGATTCTAGGCCCAAATAGATGTCCTAAACCCGAAGCCCAAAGTCTGAAATCCCAAACAGAGGCATACGCGGGGCATATCCATTTGGTACGATGGTGTACCCTTGCCTCGCATTGATCATTTACGGGATGGTTGAATTTGTATGTGGGGTGTACATCGACTTACGCGGGGCGTACTCGCATAACTTCCAAACTACTTTTGTGACTTAATCAATTAAGAGCTTTGCATCTAAACTTTAGAGAACCACCAAATGAAGCTCTACATTAATAAAATTGGCACCTTTATGCATTTGCATGGCTCAAAGGGACTCAATGACCGACTTAACCCCATAATACCCATCTAGAACATGCATGAATGGTTTCTATCCTCAAAGATGTCAACTTTATGGACTTATAACCTTTGAAATGCTAAGAGTAGCAACTCAAGGCTTATGAAGTGGTATCTACCCACTAGATCTTGCTCATGAGGCTAAAAAGGGACTAAAGACCCACATATTCATAGACAACAACTTCTAGTGATCAAGCTCAAAACTTTTTACCTTCTTTGAGCTGAAAATGTAGTAAGAAGTCCCAAAAACCACCCAAAATGTAGCCACAAGGCTCACAACACTCTTGGATGAAGCTTGATGGATTATGAGCATAACATCATTCCTATGGTGTTCATGCAACCCTAATTCTTTTGATCTAGGTTTTCTAATTTGAACATACAACATTGAATACCAAAGCAATAAACTCTAAAACTAGCATATCAAATCCGAAAATCACACATGATTAGGGTTTAGTTCTTACCTCACTTGTTATGTAGCAATAACAATCACAAACCACAAAGTCCTTAACTTTTGAAAGCTTAATGCCCTAAGTGTTGCACCTCTAATGGAGTTACTAACACCACAAGCAACAAGATGACTTAGGAGAGAAAGGCTAAGGCACAAAATTCGTCCAAGGCACTCTTGGAAAGCATAGGGCCGAATTTTGGTAGCCTTAGGGTTCCTTTTATAGGTGACCTGCTAGGGTTTTAGTCAAAACCCTAATTGATTTGATTAGCCACCAAGCATCCCTTTAGATCCTTCCAGAATCAAGTCCTCGACGATTTCTAAGTGGGCTTCCACCTTGAATTCGTCCACCTTATTCCTAAGGGATCTACAACCCTAAAACCAATTATCTTATAATTGCAATTCCAGTCCCTTAAGTTTAGTTAATCTTTTTTGACCAATATTAATTAAACAAGATGATTTCTCTTTTAATATATTATTCTTATAATATATTACTAAATAATATTTAATCATTTTTCTCCTTAATTCATTCTATCAGTTGCTATGGTGAAGGCAACCCAAAAGGACCATGCTCATAATCGGGTCCTGTACTTACCAAAATAGTTATGAGCTTCGACACCTAATCCAACAAAGCTATCACTCGAAGTTAGAGTTTAAGGCTCTGAGTATGAAAGAGAGGCACACCCCTTTAGACTTAAGGTGCTTTGAATAGTGAGCCAACCCTAAAAATTAGGGTTTGAAGATCTTGGACATATGTTGGGCGTACTCCTTGTACGTTGGGCGTAAGTCTCTTATCTTGCGTCCTATTTATCTAGCACTACGCTGGGCGTACTCACACGTTTCTATCTTGTATGCATGTGCTAAAATGCAGGCTTTTCCATCCAGGGACCAAAACTGCCAAATCCTTCAAACTTTCATAACTCCCTCATTCGAGGTCCGTTTTCGACGAACCTTATATCCATGAAAAGTTGGCGAGAAGCCCTACGCTTCTAGCCACACACCCAATCCGTACAACCTTCCGAATAAAACCCAAAACCCATAAAGGGCTCAAAGTGCCACTTTTCCGATATACCCCTTTGGCTTCAAGACACGAACCAGCTCCCGAATTACCTCATTTACATTATCTATACTTAAATGGATTTAGATCTCTCTCTTCTAAATACCCCAAGCCTTATGATAATCTATTCTCAAGCCACAATCCCGAATTAGGAAGCGATTCGGAACATGGTGTTACAATGTCATTTTATGTCATTAACACTTTGTAATGCATTTCACAATACAAAACATGGTTGCCAAAGCATTTTCTTGATCAAGTGTCATTCATTTAGAAAATTAATTTACAAGTTGAATTCCTTTTGATAGCTCTTTCTACACTATTCCTTCACTAGGGGCGTCTTGCTGATTTTGAGGTCCCGTGCGAAAAATAAAATTAGGTCCTTAAGCATAATTTACTTTTATATATAAGCAATATTATTAATATTGCCATAAGTCAATAATTATTAGAAAAACAATAAAAAAAGGATATAGAATCCAGTTTTACATAGTTACATGAATCATCATAATATAGAATCTAATCTTACATAGTTATATGAATCACGATACTTTCATAACATTCTTAGAAACAAAGTTATCCATTAACTCTTCATATACATACTCTCAAATATATTGTTCTTCATAGATATCATTTCTAACCTATAAATATATGCATTAACTGCATTAGGAAAACAATTTTTTTTTCATATATTTTAAAACATATGGGGGTTAGTAGTTTCACTCGGTAAGAACCCGTTAATCAGATTTAACTCTAGATAAATTTCATTGACATTAATATATGATCGTTCACCATACTTATGTGTGGCTTCAAGATGGATACAATACAACATAAGATCTTTGTCATCAAATTCCTTAAATATTGTTCGGAAGCGAAACAATTTTTTTAATACATATTGTATTGTTCAAATATTTTGTTAAGAGAAACTATCACTTGAAATTAAAACAATCCACAACACAAGCCACAACATAACTTGATATGTTCTGAAATTGAAACACAACCGATGAGCATTGAATTTCTAAGAAAATCAAATTTGATTTCTAAAATTGAAACAATAAATTAATCAATAATATGAAATTGAAGGTCAAAAACGATTCTACAACTGAAAGATCTTATTGAATTTGGAAACTTACAATTTTGATTTCCGAATCAAATGATGCACTAATTTTAGAACAATTAGTTAATTAATAATTAAACACAAACACCCTGAACGACTTAGCGGGTTCATGGGAATGAGTAGCATCGTGGCGACTTCTGACTTGGATTTGCGAGAACTAAATGATGAATTAACTTCGGGCGAGGTGATACATTTAAATCAATATTGTTTTTGGTCTTAAATTACTAATCTACTAAAACAAATCACATTTAAATTTGCCCCTTCCACGGCGTGGGCCCTATACAGCCGCCCACCTCGCATAACCTCAAAGACACCCATATCTTTTTTTTTTTTTTTTTTTTTTTTTTTTTTTTTTTTGTTGTTGTTGTTGTTGTTGTTGCTGTTGCTGCTATATTAGACTATTAATACACCATTTAAGGTCTAAAACATCATCAAACACATGAAAGTAATTCAACTTCTAACCATATATGACCATACTATCACTTGAATTTAACCCAAACCACACATGCGAGATACATATATACGTGATGTTGTTATTCAATTAGGTTTCACACCCAAAAAGTCATGCATGTGGTAATCCATTATCTCATATCCCTGCATAGTATGTAATCATTGAGCAGAAACACTTCAAATCCACCACATGCAACAGACAATAGAATTTACCCCTTCGGATTTTAGATCCTTCCTTATTAGAGTGGACTGGACTATAAATACCCACATGGGCTTGGGCCTCTCTCTCCCTATAATTGTATTAGTATATCTATGTACTGTGTGTATCCTTTATAATGATAAAAATTCAACAAAATAGAAAATCACAAAAAGTTACAAGAGCTTTTGCAATCGAAGATCAATAAGTAAAAACAAGTTGTAACTTTTCATGGTAAGTTGTTTATAATATTCAGTTTTTTTTTTTTACATAAATGATCTGAAAATCAATTAATTTTGTCAAATCACACGTCATATTTAAATGTTTTGAATATGAAATATTTTATTATAAATAGAGATAATCAAGCTTAACTAATGATTTTCTATTATTTAATGTCAAATCACTCTTTTTCGCTTAACTGATGTTTTTCGATTATTTAATGTTTAAGTTCAAATATTTGGATATATATGAAATATCATAAATAATCATTCATTTTACAATCACCGTTTTACAAAATTTACTATTTTTCACAATTACTTTATAAGTATTTTGGTAAGCCAAAATTTCAAAATATAGATAAGATTTTTCAAAATTTCAAAATATAGATTTCAAAATAATTTTGGAAAATTGTATTTTTGTAGTTGGCTATTATTGTACGATAAATACAATATGATATTTTGTATTGTAACCCCTTCCAATTTAGTGAATTTTGCTAAATTCTTCTAAAATGTGTAAAATTTATGGAAAACGTGCTTGAATTTAATTACGTGATTATCCCTAAATACCTGTATCGTTATGTTATGTTAATAAATAATAATAATAATATATTATTATTTTCTTGGAAAAAAGGCCAAGATTTCTTTGTACTTGCTTATACCCAATTATATACCATCAATAATGGAGACGGTACGTAGGCGGCTCACGCCAGCACCATCTCCCCTTCCCCACCACAATCCCCCAAAAATCCCCAAATTATCAAACTTTGCACGGAACTCAGACGACGTACTCTTCAATTTCGATCTTTATCCATCATACGAACACCAACACCATCAATTATACAACAAGACATCCTTTTTAGGTTTCACTTTTTTTAGTTGTGTATGTATAAATTACATATGTATTGATCTGGGTTTCATATATGGAGGTCGTTGAGGTGTCGGGTGGTGTTAAACCCATCATCGTCGGCGGTGGTGTTGAGAGGGTAAATTCCGAAAGGGATCAGGTTCGTGTGAAGAGAAAAACCCTAGAGGCGGTTCTTGATCAATGCCAACGAGCTCTTGAATTGCTTAGCACTACTGGTTGTATTGAAGATGATGACGAAAGTGGTGATGAAGTTGTTGATGATGGTGATTCTGCCGGAACGAGCAGCGGCTGTCGTGGATCTTATCCGCAATCGCAGGACGGCGAGGCTGATTTGGTAAGTTAGGGTTTTGCTTTTTCTTGTTTCAATTCTGTTAAATTGTAAACTCAAATTGGCGCAAAGTCTATGAAGGAAGTGTTGGGGAGCATGAAACAAGAGTTTTAGAATTGGGATTTGAACTGATTATAAATCATATTCATAATTAGGTTTGGATCTGAAGTCGCACAAATCAGTTGAGATTAGGCAGTTTGGATTAGAGTGATTTGTATAGGGTCACAATAATCAGATTGGAGTAGAGCCTTTTGAGATAAATATAAATTTCCAAGTTTTATTGAAGTTTTAGAAAAGTTGGTAGGGGGTAAAAGTATAATTGTGAGATTTGTTTGTGTGTAGCTATGCAGTCTACTGAAGTCGAGAGTTGAATGCCCGGATTTTCTTCAAAAACTAGAGAGCGCACAGGTGTCTGTTCCACAGGGTTTAGCAGGTATGTGTTCAGATTTTGATTTTGATAATGAGAATATAAGAGAATGCATATTTGAAGTTAATTTTTGCTTTTTGAGAATGTTAAGTAAAAGTAAAAGTAAAAGTAAAAGTGGTAAACAACAGTTTATGGATATAATGATTAACTAAGAATTGTTTGTGAAACATTGGCATATTTAGAAGAAAATAATTCATGGGACGTGGTGAGTGAAAAGGATCTATGGGAAGGTGGAAATATGGCGTCAGATGAAGATTATGTGTTAGTGAGACAAGATGATATCGTGGATGGAATTGCGTGCTTCATGGCTGCATATCTGCTTTCCCTTAAAGAGACCAAGGTACACACAATACACTTGTTGTCGTTAATTTTTTGTTTTTTTGATTTCTTATTATATGTAATGTGGGTAATTGTTTTTGTTTCACTTTCACACAGGATTTGAGTCCAAAACAACTCCAGGATGGTGAGTTTAGATTAGCATATTACAAGAGGTTTCAAAAATCCAATCTTTTTATATAAATATTATTATAATAATTTATTTATACGTACGATTTTACCAAGAAAATGTATGTATGTGTTGTAAAAGATTTATTGGTCGGTTCGTTGCAGCCCTTTGCAAGACATTCTCCATGAAAAAACAAAAGGGAAAGCTTAGAAAGGCGTGGGATGGGAGCAAAGTTATCTACAACGTTGCATCTTGGGGCGCAACAGCCATCGGGTATTATTATTATTTTAAAATATTGAATTTTCTTATATTTTGACTATAATGTACATGTCAACAGGAATTGGATATGATGTTTATTTTTGTTTTTGTTTTCTCAGGATATACCAGAACCCGGCTATTCTAAGGGCAGCTTCCGCAGCATTCTGGACTTCATGCAATGTCATATCCAAGCTTTTCTGATTCATTGCGACTCTAACTTTCTTTCTTTCTTTCTTTCTTTCTTTCTTTGTTGGGTTTGGGTCTGTGTAAGTAAGTAAGTAAGTATATTATCATATCGTATCGTATCGTATCGCAAGTCAGTCAATCTCCCCCTACTCTTAGGATTCATCACACACACAACTCTTGTATATAATTCATTTCATTTGTGCTGCTTCATCAATCATGCTCTTACTCTTCTCTTATAATTGAAAATCCTTATTCCTTTGTTTCTTCAAACTATTATTTATTATTGCCTTCAAATCTTATCGTCTTCTCCTTGTAAACTTCCATGTCACTAGTCAAACACACGTGGCAACACCATATCATCAATTGGGTTACAAGTCAAGCTTTTCGACTTTCATAACTTAGAATTTTCAAAATCAACTAAATAAGAGAACAGTTCAAACAACTTTGAACATTTAGCTGAACAAATTTCGGAAAAATGAAAATGTGTGTTACAGGCCTGTTTAGCTTTAGGGAAAAACAATGTCTTATGTATGTTACAATCAAGCATGTGTTTCCATCCACGATATCATCTCTTGCCTAATTAAGAATTAAGACGATATTCTTCTCCCGACACAAATCTTCATTGCCTAACTAACACATAAATTTCATCCGACACGATTATTTCATTGCCTAACTAAGGTTATGTTCCACACCTAAGTTTTTGAAGGTTTTTAACTATAAAAAAAAAAAAAAAGAATCCTTTGGAAGTATGAATTTAAATCTTTTATTTTAAACAAAAAGTAAATATTCCAAAAGTTATTATAAATAGTTTGAAAAAATGACTTAACAAAAGGTATTATAAATAGTTTGAAAAATTGACTTATCATAATTAACTTTTCGTTTTGTTTACCTTTTTTAATATTGTGGTGTGTAAGTGTTCACATAAAAGATATAATTTCCAGTTTCCAACTACATGTCTTAAATTACAGTTTTCAATTACCGGTTATTTTTGTCAAACATGTCCTAAGAATATATTATAGATGAAAGCTTTTTGGTGGAACTTTTTAATGAATTTAGTTTGTTAGTTTGTAATAAAATCAAATAATAAATAGTTCTCAAAATGGGTTATGCATGCTAAAGAACACTCTTTACACCTATTGGGTTATAATAGTTCTTGATTTTGAAGTTAGTTTGTTAGCTTGTTCTAAAATCAATTAATAAATAATATGATTAATATGGCTAGAAAAATAAATATATATTACTTTAGTAACACTTTTTACATATATTAGGCTCGTGAGTATGTACACCAAAAAATTGTCAATTCGCATGCCAATCATTCTCCAAGTTATAACATTGTTGTAGGAAATGATCTTATGTTGTAATACCAAAATATTATCATGTTGAAGTTTTTAAATTGCACCTACGCTGATGTTGAAGTCTAAGTCTATTTTGGATCTCTTTTCAGCATCTCTCATGGTCTCTCAAACTCAAACATATGATCTATCTCGACTCGATATTGCTCTTTTGCGATTTTAAACAAAAATCTAAGTCGTTGCAACCGCTCTCCTTTTTCACATATAGCTTGTTGTAGACTCCGTTGAATTTGGTGCACCTCTTATTCAATTAAGTCCATTTACCACTTAGCATACCAATATTGCGGTATGTTTTTTTGTTTTTTTCTTCAAGCTAGCGTGAAATCTGACGAGCGCTGCTTCCCAAACAACACATCTCTTCAAACCAATTCCTTGAGTTTTCTTTTTTGATGTCCTAAACCACGCTACCGCTAAAACGTACTCCTCCTACGACGTCCACCATTATGAAATTTCTTTATTTTTCGTTGTAACCGTTTTCACTTTTCCTTAGGGATGAGCGTGAGACGGAACCGGTACCGACCCGTCCCGTTCCCGATTTCTCGAATACCAAATTTGATCAAAAGTGAATCCCGAGTACTGAACCGAATTAACATCATCGGTACCGGTACCGGGAATGATACTGGTACTCGGTATTAGTATCGGTACCGGCAGTACCGATTCCTGAATTTCATGTATTTAGAGTACCAAGTACCGTCCCGTATTTTTAAATTCGGTACGGTTCAGTACCGGTTCCGGTACGGTACCGGTATGGGATCGAGATTTGGGACAAACTGATCATCCCTACTTTTCCTTTCCCTTTCCTAGTACTTTTGGCTTGCGTTTTGATAATGAATTCTACCGATGTTTGTATGGTTGGTGGTTGGATGGTTGTTTGTGTTTGAACATTTGATATCGAAGATGAAGTACCAAAAATGTTTTGTTATAAATTTGAGTTTTGTCCAAAAATATTTTGTTGAATGCATGGTTAGGAAAGAAATTGAATCGGAAATGATGTGAGATTGAAATAAGTTTCTTGGTATGATATTTGCGGTGAATTTTGAGATTTTAATAGGTTAATATAATTCTCGTATCACACGAATCCGATAGGAGATGTTGTATTTGGTTGTGAGTTTGAGTTTGGTGGAGGGATATTTGGATTTTGCTCATTTTTTTTTGATACCAATAGGTCTTACCAAATAAAAATATTACATAACTGAAACAAATATAATCCAACTGATCTTCTATAATAAATGAAGGTTTTTTTGCTACATGTCATCTTCTAATTCATTTGGATACATGGTATTTTCTAGAATTTTTAAATTTTCTATTTTCTACTTATCATTTTATTGTATTTTTCATTTTATTAAATTAAAATTCCACATTTAATGTGTAAGGTAATATATATGTAAAGTAATCAATACATTAAAGTTTCATTAATTTTAATAATTCAAAATTTTCTTATAAATTCAAACTTTTCAAATTGTTAAATTTATATATATTTTTTTAATTAAACCCATGTAATACATGAATCTCAAACCTAATATATAGACCTAATCTATAGATACTCATCTTGATGCGCTTCAATTTTGAGCATGTGGGCAAATCGATGGTTACACAAACACAACGACAAAAGATGGCCTTTAGACGATATAATTTTTGTCAGCATATAATCATATTCTAACTTTGAGATTTTATATAGATTTTTCTTTTATGCAAATTTTATATATTTAAAAAATTTATAGTTTTGTCAAATAAAAGTTAATGCTACTGGAGCAACCAATTTCTAACTCTGGCTAGTTTTTTTTATAGGATACCCAAAAGTCTCTTAAACAAAATCAATGAAAGATAAATTATTATTTTACGTAATTAAATTTATTTATTTTTATATTAAAACTGTAGAGTGACGTGATAGGAGTAAATGAAGGAAGGACGTAAGAAAACCGTTTGAAGAAAACTGGGTGGGAAATGCGACAAGGAAACGCGTTCTTCGTTCCTTCTCCTTCTTTTTCTCTCTAAAAATCTAAGACGCCCATGAAATTGGAGATTTTCCAAAACCCTAGAATCTCGAAACCGCAAAAATAGAAAAAAAAAATGATTGGTTGGCTGAAACAGCTGCGAATTGCTTTCGGTGCTTCTTTTGTTTGGCTTGTCTGCTTGATTTACTTCACCCAGGTATACCTTCACATGATCCAAGATCTCTCATCCCTATTTCTTTTTCAATTTTGATTGCGATTGATCATGATCACGTATACGACTGAATAAGGGTTTATAGAAATTTTCAGATCACGATATGCGATTAGCTATTTTGGTTGATTGTTTCAGATTCAAAAGTGGTTGATAATATTGATGCATATCAGCATTAGTATATTTTGATGTTTAAATGGAGAATCTCGAACTTTGGGATTTTGTTTGATCTCAAAGGCCGTGCTTGATCCTTTTTTCCTGGATAGAAGATTTCTCTCCAGAAACGATATGAATTTAATAGTAATATGCTTTGAAATGGGTTGACTATTGTCAACTGCGGAGCCAAAAAAATCGAAGTAGGAATTTACAGTATTGAATTTGGGGCCTAAAATTATTTAGTTTATGTTTTCATACTATTGTTAAACATTAACCACAAAATTGGAAAGCAATTGTTCGTGTTCAACTTTAGCTTTGCCAGACGCTGGTGTGCTATGGCTCCTCTGTTTTGGTTGTTTATAATTTGAGCACTTGATCTTTCATTCACAAATTACCAAACTCACCTGTTACATGAACTGATACATTTAGACCTTGGCCCTATGCATAGTTACAATTAGAGTTTAGTTAATAATATTAGGAAATGATGGTATACTCATATACTGGTATTTCCATAATTAATTATCTCTCTACATAAGACACTAAATTATGATAGTTTTCATGCTTGACTTGATTTAATAAAAATTTGAGAAATAAATTGGTCAACAATAGACTTTCTATGGTCAAGCAAGCAACTCCATAAATAGTGATCACAGTTCACAAATGAAGTAGATGTAATTAGTAGGCCATCCAATAAAAAATGCACACATTTCTTTGTAGAAATGTGCATGAAAATTACAACATATTATTTTGTAAAAAGATTTTAGATTAAAATGATCAATTTGCCAATTATCATCATATTGGATAAATAAGTGATACTGATTTGGGTCCAGACAGTCTCTTTCTTTTAGCCATATTATTTTTTATCACGAGATAGTCGTTCATAGGATCATTTCACAAGCTTAATTCTTGAACTCACATTTGACTATATGAGAGGAGCATATGTATGTCTAGATTGAGAGAAATGAGGTCAATGCATTCCAAAGAAAGACTCTGGTTTAAGATGTTTTATCCTAAATTGTGTCATTAAGAAAAACAATAATGCTCTTAAGCTACCTTCCTTTTTAGAGATCATATCTAGAGTTATTAGTTTGTATCTAACTAAATGTAATGGTTTTCCAAGAGTTTGTCTTTCAGTTCCTTCTAAATTATAAAATGGACACTTATTCAGCGGGACAGATATAATCACGGGAAGAAAATGATAAAAACATGAATTATATAGTAAGTACTACTAGTAGATAACTTTGTTGTGCATCTGTAACTATTGTTCATAACAACTCTGAAGTTGAAAACTGTTGTTCTTTATGACCATAGACAAGTACATCTGTTTCCTCGTTTTTTGGAAGAAAACCTCATATGAATGAGTAAGTAGTATGTAGAGTTTTTAGATATCTATGTTTAGACTGGTGTTGTGGTTGTAGAAGATGTACATCTAGAGCTGTTGTGTAGAAGATGTACATCAATTTGGATTTGGTTGTATATGTGTGTGTTGTGAGTATTTGATGAAGCTGTTGTGAAATTAAATTTGTTTAGGGGTTTAGATCATTTGTATGGACAGCGGTTTCGTATCAGTTGAAGGACAGACTGAAACTGACGCCTTCGGCCTCTCAGTTTGTGACTTCCATAGCGTTTTTTCCATGGAGCATAAAACCAATATACGGGTGGGTATTTGTTAGTAGATACAGATTTGGTTGATGGTTTGAAAATGATTATGCTGATGATGATGATGATATATATATATATATATATATATATATATATTTGGATGCAGAATTGTGTCGGATTGTATCCCAATCAAAGGAAGGAAGAGGATTCCTTATTTAGTGATTGCAACACTTCTGTCCCTGTTTCCATGGGTGATTGTGGGCATTGAAGAAAGCATAAGGAATTCCAGAGACCAACTCATGATCTTCTTGTTGTTGCAAAATCTTGGTTCTGCAATGGCAGATGTCGTCATTGATGCAATGATTGCTGAAGCTGCAAGACTTGAAAAGTATGTCCTGTCAAGTCCTTTGAAAAACACTTGACCTATAATAAATATTTAAATATTTTTGATTCTCAGGGCTAAATTTGCTGGGGACCTGCAGTCGGTATCATGGATGGCAATGGCTGTTGGGGGAATCTGTGGGAGTTTATTAGGA